GTGTGTGTGTGTGTGTGTGTGTGTGTGTGTGTGTGTGTGTGTGTGTGTGTGCCGTCGGTACGTGGTGAGATGTGTATCGGGAGCTCTAGCAGTAGCGATTTATCAAAACCCGCTATCAGTCGGAGGGGATCCATTATATCGAGGCGAGGGATTAAAATCTGATCGCGTCCTTTTCAAGAGTCCCGCGTTGTGTCCGAGAAGAGATAAACATGAGGATAAATTGAACACCAGGGGGAAGACGTAGGAAAACGGGTGCAGGGACCCTGATTTAACTCAACGTCTGCCCCCTGTTCGTTCGATTGACCTGTCAGATCCCTAAACTAACCGTGTTTCAGTTGGGCATAAAGGTAAACAGAGAGCGGAGGAATCTCGCGGTTTGTCCCCGAGAAGTTGTGTGTGCGGACGGGTAGGTGTTAATGTCCCATAAACAGGTGCGATTGCGGTAAACCACGGAGAGATTGGACCTGATACACTAGGAAGTGTTAGTCTTTAAAAAATAACTTATGGATAAAGGGGTTTATTGTCTGTCTCTACGGTGTCAGCTCCCGGATGATCAGAACCCCCCCCCCCTTTTTTTTTATACCCTCACCCCTCGCTTCTCACGCCTCATTTAATCAATTCCCCCATCTGAATGTCCCTCCCTTGAACTTGGGCTAACTTAGTTTCTTCTTGGTTTTTTTGTGTATTTCTTTTGTTTTTTTATTATTCTATTGAGAGATTGTCACTCCGGTATTTCCACTAGACATATTTGATTACCAGATTCAGCGGTAATTAAGTATCACCCCCAGCTGCTCCCCCCCCCCATCCCCCAGTGGCATATTGGTTGAATGGGATTGTGATGAAAAAGTATTTTTTTCCTAACTGATTTATTTCAAACAAGAAAACAAAGAGTATTTTGAACGCTTTCTTGCTTAAAACGGTTCTGTATGTTATCCCTCGCAGCCCATACAACGCCGCTGCTTTAAAAAAATATGTCTTTAAAACCCATCGATATATTATATGAAGATGGAACAATTAGGAAATATACTGGTTTTCTTTTTTTTAAAACCAGCAACAACAAAAAATAATTTAAAATGTAAACAAAAACAAAACAGAAAAACAGCTTTGTTTAAAAACCACATTCAGCGCACCTCAAGTATTTCTAGCATTTGAAACTTCCTCACCATAATCGGTCAAGGTTTGATCATATTTTCATCTGACTCCGCTGTCTCAAAGGTTTTAGGTTAGACTAGAATTTGTCCAACCATCAAACCAATCTGTTAATCAACCACCCTTGAGTCCACCG